GACTAGAGACTAAAGGCTAGACACCAGAGACGAGCTTTGAGACTGAGGTATAGGCTAGACTTAAACACTAGACTAGAAACTAGAGAATAGAGTTTACAGACTAGAGACCAGACAAGTAGCTAAACATAAGCCTAGACTAGGATGGATAATGGAAGAATGGAGCAGTATGTAAACTAGACTGACATCTGTAAATAATTGAACTTCTAGGTCGTAACTGTCTAGCACATTTAATTTACATTTTCCTGAAGTTCTGACGAAATACTCATTTTATTGATGTGTTCAATTTTCATTACTTTGCAAATGATAAAATATTAAAGTTACATGCAGACTATAGACTTATACCCTTAAGAGGGTTTCATAATTTAGTTACGAAATAAAAAATTATATCTTCGACTTCATAAAATACATATACCTAGTATCGACTAGGCAGTAAACAGCTTGAAGTCGGTCGAACTATTAAATCATATAGGTGACAAGGGAAATGAAAGTCGAAGAACAAAAAACAAAAAAAAAAACATCCACTATTATATTATAATAGTTATAACCATCTGTAAAAAAAGGGTATTTTATATTGGATTAGATATCCTAACCCAGCTCTTCAATAAGTTAGGGCATTCACTTTTCGGCACTTAGTAACTATTGTAATTCTTTTCGAGTGCGCGTTGCGTAAAACTGAGCTAAATTTTAAGTTATTTTTGTGTTGTTCTTTATATCTAAATCGGATAGAAAACTTTGCGCGATTGGGCAATTAATTGGTGCCTTTACCGTTGCGCTGCCAGGCGTTGCCAGATTTGACAATTTGTCTGCTGCAGTTGCCTCAGTTGCTGCTGCTGTCTGCATGACATTGCGCATACGCCCCGTACACAAATGCAATTTACTTACCGAGCCACACTCGAATGCTGTGTCGCTTCGCTAGCTCGTTTTGCGGAACTAACAACGGAAATTGTAAGGAAATGAGCATGGCTTAAGTTTCTGTTCTGTTGGTACTTGCCAACCCCCTCTCCCACTTCCAGCCCGTTTGCCACCCGCTGCTGTCTGCCGGTGCGTGCCCTCGTGCCGTTGAAGCCGCTTAACTCGATTTCAAGCCAAAGTGCAACTCGGCTAGGGTCCAAGCAAACGCACGCAGACACAGTTTGTACGTCCGTCCGTCTGTCTGTCGCCGTGTCGCTTAGTTGTGCGCTATTTTCAGTTGTTGCTTTGAAAGCATGTAATTTATTTATGCAGTGCATTGCGTATTGCATGTAGAAGCTGAGTAAACCACCTTGACCCACTAATTGGACGCCTCGTCGATGGCGGCAACAAAACTAACAAACTAACAAACTAGTCGCCCGGCCCAGTCGCAAATAGTTTTTCTCTCTCAATTTCTGTTCAGCTTTGTTTTTTTCTTTCGCATTTTCTTGCTGCGCCTATTGAAAAAATCGCTCGACTGAATCATTTGGCAGGCAGGTGTGTGTGTGTGTGCGCGCAGCAGGTGAGAAATGCACACTTTAAAATATTCGCAAGCCCATAAAAATGCTTGAATGCTCGCATAAATTTAAAATTATATAAATATTAGTTCCATATACATAAGATGTTATTAGTTGACAAAAATATTTACACAAAAGGCTGTTTACTTTCTAGACTTTAAGTCTGCTTGAGTAGAATGTATTATTGTATCATATAAAGATATATTAAATTATTTGATTAATTTAAATCGAAATATAAATATTTCTAATACCATCAACGACACGATGGAGAAAGGGTATACAGATAGCGCTGGGAAATCACCGACCAGGTGGAGGATGATTAACACCTGCCCGGCAAGCTGTGCCCCTACTCATAGCTGGAAATTATCTGTGACTGCCCGAAAATATCTTGAAAGCAACGAAGTTATTAAAGGTGGAAAGAGTTCTATGGAGAACTCGTGATAGTCATTGCATAACACACGAAGTGATTTACGCAAAATAATAATCATGTGGCTCTGAAGGGAGCTGAGAAAAATTCTCTTCTCTAAAATGCTTTCAATAACAAAAATATCTTATGAAATCTGCGCGAACTTCATTGAAAAGCCAGCTACATAAATATGTATAAGTTTACGCCAAATATGCGTAATTATGTAAATTGCGCATTGAGATACATTTATATTGTTGTGGCCGCATCCTCAGCAGCCCGCGGCCCCACACAGCTCTCCTCAGCCTCAGCCCCCGCCCACGGCTACGAAACCTGCTGCGGAAAAGTTGCTCGAAACATTTTATTTGTCGTAATGTTGGAAATTAATTTTTGCTACTTTTGACGACGCCGACACAGGAGCTGCAGTTGTTGCCTGTTTACTGTGGAACAACACACACACACACACAACCACACACACACACACAACCGCACACTCACCCCTACACCTACGATTTGTTTTCGAGCCGAACTTTTTCAATTAAGTTCATTAATATTCAACTTGGCCTGCGGCCAGAAAGCGACGAATAAATAAATATTAAAATCAAAATTACAAACTAATAAAGGCTGCCACAGCAGCCGCTGGCTGACTGGAGGGGGTAAGCGTGAGGGAAGGGGGGATTGGAGGGGTTGGTTGTGTTTATTTTAGCCCATTTACCAACTGCCAATTGCCACTTGACAGTTAAATGCTGCTGGACATGTCCTGCACTAAGTGCTGCAACAACAGCGAGTCAGTCAGACACGCCCACACGCCTTCCCCCCTGCACCTACCCCAACCACCCACCCCTCTCACGTATGGCATAAGCATACAAAAATTGCCTCTGCGTGCAAATTCTTGGGCGAAAACTTTTAAGAATTTAATATTGCGTTCGTGCTCGAAAAAAAAATACAAACAAACAGATAATGTGATTAACCAAGAGCAGAAGGGTGCGTGGGGCGAGGGGAAGAGGGAAAAACTAAAATGAACAGAAAACTCATTTAGTGACAAATTACAAGATAATTGAAGCATTTAAATGCAAAGAATGAAGTCCTCTGCAGTTGTGCACAATCAGAAATGTCTTGTGCATGAATTACATCTGGTTAAATTGTGGTAAATTTTGTAGAGAAATCAAATTTACTATTATTATATAAGTTGGCTTTTTGGCAACCGAATAGTGAAGTTGCTGGTTCAAACCTTAGAGAATTAGATTAGCGGTCAGATTAAGTGATATACTAGACAAAGGCCAGGGTAGTTAGTGATATTTAAAATGGTAAATTATAATAAGAAAACTAATAGTTATAACAGTGAAGTTGAAAGTTCAACCCGCAGACCATCGGACAAAGTGTTATGCTAGGCAAAACCAGGGTTGGCAGAGCTATTTAAAAGGCCAATAATATTAAAAATATTAATAATAATAACAATCATAATGATAACAATAATAGAAATAATAATAAAAGCTATAAAAGTGAAGTTGCTGGTTCAACCCGCAAAGCATTAGATTAATATGATCGGTTGAAGTGTTCTAGGTAAAGAACTAGAAGGCCAGAGCTGTTTAAAGAGCTTATAATAATAATAATAATAATAATAATAATAATAATAATAATAATAATAATAATAATAATAATAATAATAATAATAATAATAATAATAATAATAATAATAATAACAATAATAATAATAATAATAATAATAATAATAATAATAATAATAATAATAATAACTATAATAATAATAACTATAATAATAATAATAGTAATAATAATAATAATAATAATAATAATAATAATAATAGTAATAATAATAATAATAAAAATAATAATAAATATTATTAAAAGCTTATAATTAAGCTCATTAATAACAACTACACATACAACTTCGAATGCTGATTTAAAAATAAAGTGCCCGCCGTAAGGGTATAAAGAGGGTATTTTAAGTGCATTATGCATACGTATATATAAGTTCAAGTATATGTAAATGTATATATATATGTCGCTTTATATATATACTGTATAAAATGTTGTCGCCCCGCTGCAGTCGCATAATTAACATGAAGCTCACGTTCTACGTTTTCGACGAACGCAGCAAGCCGGCGACAAAACTAAAAATTTTATATGTATATAAATTTAAAAAAAAGAAGAAGAAAAACAAAACAAAATTTAAACGAAAATAAAAAAAAAACGAAAATTAAATTGTGCAACGTTGAATCACGCGCCACACGATGACGCGAATGACAACCGAATGAGCTAGAGTTATGGTAATGTTTGTTGTTGTTGTTGTTGTTGTTGCTTATGTTTACATTTGTATAGCTGTTGGTGATGAGGTGTTGAATTGGGAATAGTATTGTAGCTTCCGTGGGCAGGCCGAAAAAATAATAAAATGACCCCTGGGCGCAGCCGGGGGCCACTCGACTACATAACCCGAGGTCAGACGCACGCGTGACAAATTACACAAATGGGCAGAAAGAGGCGCTGTAGCCGCTGGTGGAGGGGGGGCGAGGAGAAGAGCACACAATAGATTGCTCTAGACTAAAGCTAAGGTATATATTATATATATTTTATATATATTTCATGTGCTGCTGAATAACTTATCGTCAGCTCGTCTTTGTTTCAGCTCTCTGTTGTAATTAGTCGTAAATTGATTGCTGAGCTCTGTTCCCATGCCCTGCACTTGACACTCGAAGGAGTAGGGCAGTGGGCGAGGGGGGGAACAATTTCCATAAAATTATCTGCAAAAGAAACGTCTCTCAACGCGCAACATTTATATTTTCCATGAAATCTTATGAAACCTCCAAAATTCTTTGTAATTCAATAAAAAAGAAAACACAATTTATTTTCGGCTACACACTTTGCATTGTGAAATGCCATTGCCCGATGAACGTGTAATCTATCAATCTATTTTTAAGGCCATTAATAATAAATAAACACGCTGATAAACTCTATAAATACATATGCATAAATATAGCTGCTGACGCGCACAATCACAGACAGTTCAGTTCCATTATATATCACAAATTCGATTGGCATTTGATTTTCTAAGGCTTTAATCTATAAACACATATCTAATGTTGAATCATGTATTTATTTCGTTTCGACAGCACAAACATGTCTAGCGATTCGAGTCGCCGCATTCAGGTGCCTGATGAGCTGAAGGAGGTGCTATTGCAGTTCTCCATTGCGTATCTGGTCGAACAGCCGCCGGATCTGATTGACTTTGCCGCCGATTACTTTAACAAATTGCAGGCGAATCGGCCAATAATAGCCAGCACCGATAATGGGGCCGATGATAGTCAGAGCATTAACTCACAAGATGGCGACGGTAAGTCACGAGAGAAGAGAACAGAAGTTTATCTGAGCTGCAGTTTTAGTATATCGATGATGTTGGTATATCGATAATGCGCTCGCCAACATTTAACAGCGATTTTACCAATAACTTTGGGAAATCGACGCTATCGATAACTTTATATGATTCATACTACAGTTTTTTAAAGACTATCAAAATTATCGATTGCTATCATGATCATGATGGCAGTTTCTACCGATAACAGCGATAGTAAAAGTTATCGATTGTCACAACTTTTCGGTGGGTCAACTATCGATAGCTTCAGAGTGTTAAGGTACTTGTAGGTATTTCACCAACTATTTAAGCAAATTATACCAAATATTTATACAATTTGTATTCATGCATAAGTCGTTACATTTTAAGAAATCAACATTATCGATAACTTTATGCGATCGATACTATCGTTTACTAAAGACTCGATATGATCTTTTACTATAAACTATCATGTCCCCTTTTGAACGCATACGAACAAGATGTGAGCTTATTTGTATGTAGCTTCTGTCGATAACAGCGATAGTCACTGTTATCGATTATTACAAAATTTAAGTGTGTAAACTATCGAAAGCTTTAGAAATCGTTGGTATTACACCAACTATTTGAACACATTGTACTAAATATTTATACAAGTTGTACCATTAATTCATCTTTGTTGAGGTAAATCAATATTGTTGTTGCCTGAATACGCCTCTGAATAGCCCACAAATGAGCAATGCGAGCTTTGCGTGTGCCGACAACAATTCCTTTGGGGGTCACAACTAACATATTTCCATGTCTTGTCGTGCTTGTGCGTCAATTGTAGCCACATTTTGCTGCAGTTGCTTTTAGCGCACGATTAACTATTTTTAGTTGGAAACTTTTGGTTACTTTGTGACGTCGAGACGTGGCCACGCATAAAATAAACGCAAGGGCCCTTCGTTTTTAGCCTAAGCTCTGCACTAAATTCTAATTATAAAACTGAAAGCCAAAACAAAACCAAAGAAAAAAAAAGGTGAAAAGGAAAATCATAAAAAAAGGTAAACGAGTTTGTTGCAAATTGAAAAGTTTTGCTTTTTGCCCAACTTTAAGCTTTTGTGGGGATGTTGGTGGGGCTATTTGTGTGTGTTGGTGTGTGTGCGTGTTGTGTATCTGTATCTCATTATTTGCCATAATGCGACGCACGTGTGCGGACAATTAGCGCCAGCTGGTCACGCCGTCCATCGCATCTTGAGGTCGTACATCTTCGACCAGTGCCAGAGCAAATTAAATAATAATGTTGATAAAGCTGTCGGGAGCAGCAGCAGCAGCCGCCGGGCCAGGTCCTGCTCCGAAGCCTGCTTCCTGCAGACGCTGTTGCTGCGTGTTTATCTTCCGGTTAATCAAACACGCAGCACGGCTCAAGGGACACCCGTGTCAAGTGTGCGAATGTGTCTTGCTTTTACCTCCGCCCGGACATCCGGACGCCCTGCAGTCCTGCTGCCATTACAAATCTATTAATTGCGCACACAACTCAAGAGCTGTACAAACAAACCAAGGCGCGACAGCTCACATCATGAATGTATAGATGTTAAATACATATACTATATATATATATACATATCAATTGATTCAACTTCAACTGTATTCCAAGCGTATTCCAGCCAAGCAGATCAATAATATATTAAAAATATATGTATTAGATCAATAATATATAAATATATATAATATACGAGTTTTTCTACACAAGCCTTTGAAAATAGCTATTAAGAGAACCAAAAAAAAAAGTATTTTAATCGATTTTTTCACCTATTTTTCACTTTTGTGTGTGGAATTACGAATTACTCATTAATTTAAGGTTTTTCAAATGAAACTTTAAATGCGAAATTAAAACAATTTCTAGCCCTTTTATTCACTTAAGGGTGGAATTGCCATGGTCCTGCGTATTTGGGTCTTAAAAGGAAGCTATTGTTTCAACTTTCAAGCTCTTGGGGAGCTGCTGCCTGCCCGTCAGACAGTCAGCTATATCATTGTATATATATATATATATGACCAACTATATACACATATACATATAAATATTAATATGTACATCTATATATATGTGCATGGTGGCATTAGTGTACACAACACGCTTGACATTTAATTGAAGTTCGCATTGGACTCGTCTCACTATCAGCCTCGCCGCATTGACCTTTTTTTTTTTGCCCGGCTGCTGCAAAATTGTTCTTGGCTTTGCTCAGTGAAGCCCTCATGAGTTCAGCTGAGCGTAAGAGCAGCACGCAAATAGCTCAGAGAAAATTCTATATCTGTCTATGTGTGTGTGTGTGTGTGTGTGTGTGCCACGCCCCTTGCAGCGCTTTGATGTCTATTTATGGTCAGGCTAGCTGTTTTTGATTTAAATACGCTTTAAGCGCCGCACGCACGCACACACACACAAATGACTTAACTGCTTATAAAAAATATTAAGTATACGCACAACAATTTTTTGCGGGTGCCAAAATGTGGCTTAATAAGGTGTGCGAGTGCCTGTGCCTGTGTCCGTGTGTGTGTGTGTGCTAAGCATGTTGTACATTTTATTAACGCTCACGTTGCCCACAAAAAAGGCAAAAGCAGCGCAAAAGATAGAGAGAGAGGGAGAGAGAGAGGGAGGGAGGGAGAGAGGGAGAGAGAGACAGGGGTTAAAGCAATGAGCGCCCATTGAAGCATGCGGATGAGCAGCGGCTGCCTCGCAGTTTGTGCCCGACTGCCGCACGCTTCAACAGGCACACACACATAAGTGAGGGATGGGGGAGAGGCGGTGTGTGGCTGGGTATTAAGGCGCTGCCACGCCCACGTGCGCTGACATGGCTTTCGCTTGGCAGTTACATTTTGAACATTATTGACATGCCAACGGCGTTTGCAGCAGCACGGAAATTGTTGGCCATGTTGTGTGTGTAGTGTGTTTCATGTGTGTCTGTGTGTGTGTGTCCTGTTTGTGCGTGTGTGTGTTTGTGCGCCTCCTGTTGCGCTTAATGATAAATATAAAAAAAAAAATAACACACAGGCACCACAACAGAACTGTTCATGTTAATCGAGACAAAGCTTTGCTCTCTCTCTCTCTCTCTCTCTCTCTCTCTCTCTCTCGCTCTCTCTCTCTCTTTTTCTACTTATTAATATGTAGTCGTACAGCTAACCGCACACAACCACAAAACTCACACACACATACACACACACACTCACACATGGCTGACAGGCATTGCCTACTTACAGGCACTATTTCCGCCTTTTCTTTTGACGGTTTGCGCCGACCATTCGTGCCTGGCTCAAAGGCTGCTGCGGTTACAGCATCCGCTTTAGTCGTTAACCAAACGTCACAGGAGACAACACAGCTAGTGCGACAGTCAGTCAGTCAGTCTGTCAGTCTGTCAGTCATTCTGTCAGTCAGTCAGTCATCTTCTGTGTCAGCGTCAAGCTATTAGCATTCACATTGCAAATCTTGTTCGCGTCATCGTCGCGTCTCTCATTCCGCTTAACCAAATTAATGCAGTCGACTGTTATTTGCAATTTTTTTTTAATTAAATTTTCTCGCGTGTGTTTGCCGTGCGTATGTGTGTGTGTGTGTGTGGTTTTACAGCCATATTTAAGCCAAATTGATTTTATTTTAATTTACTGGCACATAACTAAGGCAAATATTAAGCGTAACTACATAAAGTGCTTATTGTTAAGTTGTTCATTAAATAAAATAATAAAAATCAAATTCCCAAGTAAATTGGTTTGCCAAACGTGTTGACATTCCATTATAATTTGCACTCAATTAAATAGCTTTATTGGCATAACTAATAATATATTAGCTTGGCCATAAGTATAATGTTTAAAATTGTCCGTAAAATAAAACAAATCAAATTAATGCTAATTGTGTGTAAATAGAGTCTGTGAACTGGTTGCCAACTGAACCGGTTCGAGTCAGGAGTTCCTATGCCGTGAACCTATCAACTAGAGTGTGGATTTCTAGTTCAATTTGCTGAACAAGTTAACTCTTTCATTTTATGACCGTGAGTTAAATTGGTCACTTAGTTCACTTGTTCAGCTATTCAGTCGGTCATGAACTATTAGCTAGTTCAGTTATGCAGTCAAATCAAAAGTGAAATTAAAATCCCGATATCTTTTGTGTTTATTAAGAACTGAAGATCTCAAAAGAATGTATCGTTCAGGAACGGCTGCTGAGTTGCATACAACGTTCACGAGCGACTGAACGAGTATCAAGAATGTATCGTTCATGACCGACTGAACGAGTACAGAATACATCGTTCATGACCGACTGAATAGCTGAACGAGTGAACTAAATGACCGATTTAGTTCACTAATCACTGAATAAGTTCAGTAGTTCATTTTAATGACTCGTTCAATCGAACTTGGTCTGAACTAAACGACACAACTCTACTTCCAACGAATCACCAGCGCCTGAACTGAACCATTTGTCAGCCAGGGCTGCCAGCGCGATGAACCAAAGCAGTTCTCGTTATTCCAATTCGCTTTGTTTGTGATAAACCGAAACCTGAACTGTCGCAACTGCAGAATGAGAATTGCCGAACCTTAACAGAACAAAGCTGTAATTATGTGTCTCAAATCTGTGGCTTAATGTAGTTAAGACATTAATAACTCGTTTTGAGCGCAATTGCAATGTGCATTGAATTATTAACCGCAAATCAAATCAAGTCAAATCAAATATGTGCCCAGCTAAGCCAGAAGCTGTCATATGCCTGCCAAAACTCCAGCATACTCTGCCATAAGCAGCTGTGGGCGGCATATCCTGTTCGTTGTCCACATCCTGTCACAAGGCTAGCTGAAATAAATACTTGGCTGTCAGTCATGCAATCGAGCTTTCCACTTCCAATATTCAAGAGCTTCAGCTGAAGGATTCAAGACTTTTCAGCTGTACATGGATATATATATTTGCGAGTGTGTGTGTGTGTGTGCTTGATTGCGTGCGTGTGTGTGCTAGTGCATCATTAAACTGGCTTAGTGCCACACTTGACACGACTTTAAGCGAATGGCAAAGCAAACAGAATTTTATTTCATTTTTTGTGTTTTTTTGCTTAGTAATTGATAAATTTTGTAAAGTGTGAAGTGCGCGTTGTGATTTCTCAGCTAGAAACAATCGCAGTATCGCAATCGGGCCTTAAGTTTTGGCCAAGTGCATAAATATTTATTACGCATACGCAGCGTGTGACAGTGCGAAAAACATTTCGCTTTTATGTATTTATTGTGCGCACACATTCGAGTTTTCACCTTGAGTTTTCAGCTTCAGTTTTAGTTATCTGAAAACTTGTTCGCGCTCAACTGGTTTCAATTTTTTCCCCCTCCCCGCCCCGACAACAATTTTTGCGAGGCTGCAAAATTGTAACTGAAACTATACGCACTGAAAAGCCATATACAAAAAACTAAAGTTATTGATATATTGAGTGCACTGCATAATGTCTACGCAAGTGTCCAGCAATCTATTGGCCGGTAAGCAATGCAAAAAAAAAAGTTGTTTTAACTCAAAAAAAAAAAAACACAAATAACAACTTGCCAAATACGAGTGCAAAAAACACACATTTTGGTCAGACACGTCGCCAATAACAATTATAGACATCGCATATGCGATATATACATGTGAATGTGTAGGTTTATGGATCGTCAGAAATGAAAACATAAAAACTAACAGCTGCCAAAATAGAATACAATCTCTGATATATATTAGGCTGATATTCTTGCTAACTAAAAGGCGGCAGTTTTGAAAGCGAAATTAAACATTCGAATAGTTCTAAAGTTTGCATCGAAAGAGACGGACGAACATGTTTAAAAAAACAACTCGGCCGTTGATGCTGCTCAAGAATATATAGTATATATGCTTAATGGGGTTGAATGTCTCCTACTATGCCTTACACATTTGGTGACAAAAATACAAGGATATGCAAATAGAGATTAGAATAAAACTAAATAATATATTGACATACTCCCTATATCTGTTTATCATCCTTTAAACAAAACATATAGAATAAGGTTTTAAATCGAAATGGTTCAAAAGTCCAAAGTTACAATTTATGTTTTGGTGCTATGCAGCAAAAGTTTAACCAAGCCAAATGTATTTGATATGATTTGGTACACAATGAAATATTTGTCAGAGTCCGAAATTTTCTAGATTTTCATTTTTGATATGGATGACATCCTATAGAGCTCAATCCTATATTAGCAAACCCGTATGGCTTGCAATATTTTTACTAGAATTCAATTAAAAATTGTAAATTGTCTATTGAAAATATATGAAAAGCCATCACAAACCGCGACGAACGACAAACTGTGTGAACCGAATCATGAATCGAACCAACGATAACTCCTTTTTCTCTACTTTCAAGTTTTAGCAGTTGCATCATTTCAATAATAAGCTACGCAAAGGGTATATGATAAGCATAATAAAAAGTAATATATATATACAACATATTTGCACTCTTGAAAGCGAGCTCAATATGTGTGTGCGCTGGGGAAAAATGAATAATTGCCGCAATTGGTTTTAGTTGGGTTTTTCTCTTAAGCCATCTGTTTGTCTGAATGTCTTCTCGTCTCAGCTCTTCACGATGATGAATTGCAAACATTTTACCGTTTACTGTTGCCGGATGCAGTCAAGCGAGTTGCATGTTGTTGTTGTTGTTGTTGTTGATGCATCATCAAGGCTTAAGAAGTGCCAGAGTAGCCTATATACGACTTGGGCGAGACGCAGCTATAAAACTGCCAACGAGGCGCAATTATAATGTATGCAGATGCAGATACAGATACAAAATGTATCTACATTTGTGGGCTGCTGTGTGTGTGTGTATCTTTTGTGCACACATCCATCCATCTCTCGCCAGTTGTGTGGGCAGCTGGACAGACCTCGTTGCCACTCCTCCATTTCCATTTACAGCAAGTGCATTTCGTGTCGCTCAACTATTCGATTTGCTGAGACAGTTTCTAGCAACTTGACGCAGCTGGTTAGCAAAAATAACAACAACAACTAAAATTGCTGACGCAAAGCTTGATGTGTTGTGTGGCAACACATTCGTTCCCCGGCTAATACTTTGATGGCCTCAAGATGACAATCATGTGAGGAGCAGCAGCAGCAGCAGCAGCGCATCCGGCATCAACAGCGGGTTGCTGTCTATCAATTCCATTTCACTCTCACTCTCCCCCTCTCCCCTTGCCCCTTGCCCCTTCATCGTTCTGCTTTCTGCTCCACTCAGCTATTTAATATAATTAAGCCAAAAAGTGAAGCGCTCCTCCCACCATCTGCCAGCCAACTAAACATCCTGTGTGTACTTTAGTTAATGAGCACAAACATGAAAGTCAAACTGGGGCGCAGGACATTGTCCTCAATAGAGACATTCACTTAGTCGCAATGTCCGGCCAGACCATTTTCATTAATTAGCCACATTCTACAAAACGTTTTCGCCCTAAAAATGTGTTCATCGATTAGAAATTTGGGAACTTTGCGCAATGCTTGTTCAGAAAGTTGTTAAAGTAAATGCATTTCATTATCTGAGACTAATTTATAGTTATGATTTTAAAGATATTTATATACTTTGTGACTAAAAAAAGCTATATGTAATAAAACAACTGATAAATGATATTGGCATTTAGATTACAATGACAAGTTACCCCAATTAGAGAAAATTCAAAGCTTTTCAGTGCTAGAACCGAACTTCAACCTAATCGATAGTATCAATTTTTTATTTATCTTTCATAAATCTCGATAGGTTTCGATATTTGGTCACTCTGAAATCATTTTTAACTCAGATTGCAATACTCCAATCTGATATCTCTAAGCAGACTAGTATATTCTTTAGATATAGATATCCTTAGATATATAATTAGCAATTCGTTCACGAACTATAAATTAATATATTTAATGTTATCGGCGCTTGAGCGACTGATGATAAATTGAGAACGTTTTTTCAAAGCTCTTAAGCAGGGATTACAATGCAATGGCAATATAAATCTTCTAACTTTTGCTTTGCAAGTTAATCTGATAAATACCCATTTAAAAATTTATGAACATTCAAAGCTTTTTATAGATGGAAAACAAACCCAATAGACTTATGTACAGTATCGATAACGCATTTATCAGTTCCGAATTTCGATAGTCTTCAAGCTTGATAGTTCTTCTGTTATTTATAACCAAGATTTAAATACTAGAATGAAAAATCGTATAGACAGCTTGCGATAGCTGGCAATTTGTTCACAAAATATGAACGACATTATTTTAAAATATATTTAATTTTGAGAACTCTTTTTAATAGATAACACAAATGTTTAAAAGATATAGAAGTCTTCTAACTTTTCACCTGATACTTTGTCTCACAAACTAATTAAACTTAAGCTTCACTAGTTAAACTAAGCTCATAGTATATGTTTTAAGGGCATACTCCAAGTTATTTAATTATGCAAGTTAGTTAAACCGTTTTTATTTCTAATTGCAGCGGAACCGCCAACAGTACAAAGCACACGTCGCAAATCAGTGTTCGCCGAGGCTTACGATCCGGAGGCTGACGATGATGATGAGGGCGCCACTGCCATATTCCCCAAGACAGATGAACAGCGGGCGCGTCTCATCGAGTCGGTGAAGAATGTGCTGCTCTTCCGTTCGCTCGAGAAGGAACAGGTGCGCCCATACCCCTTACCCCCTTACCCCCTTACCCGCTTTGCCCCTTACCACACCTTCCGCTTACCACCCTCACTCCTCCCGTGCGCACTAAGCGCATAAATCTTTCGCATATTTTCGGGGCAAAATTCCACACGAAACACGACCAAAACACAAAAGCCAAAGAGTTTGCTTCAATGCAGACGGCCGCAAAACCGAATCACGTTGCTTGCGGTTTGTCTGCCTGGCTGTGTGTGTGTGTGTGCAGGTGTTGTCTATGTGTGTTTCTGCCTCGCCCCCCCCCCCCCCCCCCCTTTCTTTCCCTCTATCAAAGCAGCTCTAAAATGCCTTTTGGCTATTTTCTGTTTCGTTGCACGCAGATGAATCAAGTGCTGGACGCAATGTTCGAGCGGAAGGTGCTGCCGGGCGATTACATCATACGCCAGGGCGATGATGGCGATAATTTTTATGTTATTGAATCGTAAGTGCCAGCAAATTGCGTATACGCCGTGCTTGACCGCGCCCCAACAAGTAGGCAGCATTATTTGAAGACACGCAGACCGCACGGCGTATACGCAATTAATTTGCATTCGCAATATTCGCGCTATTCGCATGCTCAATTCTCTTTCTCTCTCTCTCTCTCCCTCGCTCCTCCTCTCTCGCTGTCTCTTTCACAGTGGCATCTATAAAGTCTATATAAATGATAAACACATTAGCACCTACAACCACACCGGACTATTTGGCGAATTAGCGCTGCTCTACAATATGCCCAGGTAAGCAAATAGCATTCGATATTGTATCTTGTATCTGCTGGATAAACATTTATATCTGTAGCGTGTTTGCTCGCTTTATGTGCAGCGTACTATTTACACCCACTGTCTACGCATGAAAGGTGCTAATTACACCATTTTTTTTATTTCAATTTGACACTTGGCACTTTTTATGTGTGTCCACAAATTTGTTGCAGGGCCTTTGTGTGTGAGATGGTGTGAAAAAAAAGGGAAAATTTTCAATTTTTAACTGCGTTTACACAAAGCAGCTTAACAGCGGAATGTAAAAAATTGTTAACTAGTTTCAAAGAGAATTAAAACGTAGGCATAGATCTAAAAAACCATAGCCCTAATAGACCATAGGCCATAGACCATAGACATTAGACATTAGACATTAGACATTAGATATTAGACATTAGACATTAGACATTAGACATTAGACATTAGACATTAGACATTAGACATTAGACATTAGACATTAGACATTAGACATTAGACATTAGACATTAGACATTAGACATTAGACATTAGACATTAGACATTAGACATTAGACATTAGACATTAGACATTAGACATTAGACATTAGACATTAGACATTAGACATTAGACATTAGACATTAGACATTAGACATTAGACATTAGACATTAGACATTAGACATTAGACATTAGACATTAGACATTAGACATTAGACATTAGACATTAGACATTAGACATTAGACATTAGACATTAGACATTAGACATTAGACATTAGACATTAGACATTAGACATTAGACATTAGACATTAGACATTAGACATTAGACATTAGACATTAGACATTAGACATTAGACATTAGACATTAGACATTAGACATTAGACATTAGACATTAGACATTAGACATTAGACATTAGACATTAGACATTAGACATTAGACATTAGACATTAGACATTAGACATTAGACATTAGACATTAGACATTAGCAATTAGTCATTAGCCATTCCTCATAAGTCATCAGTCATTAGTCATTATACAGTAGACATTAGACCATAGTCGCTCGGCATTAGACATTAGACACTAGACAAAGAACATTAGAAATTAGACATTAGACCATCGACCAAACTGTAGCAGAATATACCTCAAGCTCTGGGTGAGCCTTTTTCTTGTACGAAAATGGTTAAATCTAGTAAAAACCTTTTATTTCTAAACTAATTTTGGGTAATTAACTTTTCAGAGCGGCCACCGTACAGGCGGAAACCAGCGGCCTACTATGGGCCATGGATCGTCAGACATTCCGACGCATTTTGCTCAAGTCGGCGTTCAAGAAGCGAAAAATGTACGAGGAGCTGCTAAACAGTGTGCCCATGCTAAAGGCGTTGCAGGTGAGACCAGAGCAGCGAAACTCTCAAGTCCCGAATTCCAAATCCCAAATCATAATATAACAAATATAAACATATGCACTTACCCGATACAGAACTACGAGCGCATGAATCTGGCCGATGCTTTGGTCTCCAAGACCTACGAGGATGGTGAGCAGATTATCAAGCAGGGTATGCGACAGTCTGATGGACTCCGAAGCTGGTTTAGTTACGCTTTGTTCGTGTTGCAGGTGATGCCGCCGATGGCATGTACTTCATTGAGGAGGGCACCGTGTCGGTGCGCATGGATCAGGACGATACGGAAATCGAGATATCCAAACTGGGCAAGGGTCAATACTTTGGCGAACTGGCCCTGGTCACACATCGGCCACGCGCTGCTTCCGTTTACGCCACGGGCGGCGTTGTTAAGCTCGCATGTAAGTCCATCTCAGCTACACGGGATGCCTCTTTTAGTGCCTCGCTTATGGGCGTCGCCCAGAATCCTAGCCAGCTGTTTTAATGCTTTTTCTTACATTTTGTTTTTGTTTTCTTTTGTTTATGTTCTGTTTATTCCGTACTTTTTGTTTATGCACTTATCCCGGCGCTCATTTTTGCACTTGTATTGTGTTGTTGTGTTTTATGTTGTGTTGTGTTGTGTTGTGTACCGCGTGTAATGTGTGTAATTTGTGTGTAGTTTTGGATGTTGTTTGCTTTGAGCGACTGCTGGGCCGCTGCAGCCATATCATGCAGCGCGGCATATGCGACTATCGCTATCTGGAACTCGATCTGCGCGCCTACTTTGATAGCCTACAGGCCGTCTAGTTGGGCTAAACGGCCGCCCATTTACTTGCGAGGGGAGCGGGGTGATGTATACGCCATCCAATAACTATGTGTGCACACTTGTTTAACACTCTCACTTTTTTATATCACTTTATATATAAATATCACTAAATGACATCAAAACATTACTTCAATTTTTGAGAATCGCATAGAAAGGCGCTATATATAAAGAAGAAGAAGGATTTAAAGAAAGAATGTTAGACAATGAAGAGAATTGAGAGAAAAAGAGAACGATTGACAGTGGAAAAATACATTAAGGGAGATCTCATTAGAAAAGGAGAGCAGGATCGGAAATCAAAGAGAAATGTACCGACAGACCGGGAGAGAGAGAGAGAAAGATGAATGAAGAGGGGGATAAAGAGGAAGAGGACCAAAGAGAGAATTCTACTGAGAAAAAAAAGGGATTTAATAATAACTAAAAGAAAGAGAGGGAGAGAGAGAGGGAAATAGAGAGATAGGGGGAAAGATGAACTAAAAGGGAGAGAAAGAGAAACTAGGAGAGAATCCTACTTAGATAAAGAGAGAGTTAGGAAGAAAAAACCAAGAGAAAGAAATATATTTAGTCTTACCAGCTTTGTAAGTCTTGTATGCGCTGCTTTAATTCATGAAAATCGCATAGAAAGGCCTTCAGCATTTATGCACAAACTATTAAAACCGTTTCACAGCCGAATTGAATTGTTTCACTCCAAGTGTGCACACACACAAACACACGTGTTGTATTCATTTTACACACCCCCGAATATCCCCTCGTTGTAGTGTTTTGTAGTTAGTTGTAGTTTTAATTAAAGAATTCCGTCCTAGTCCTAGACACAGATGCCTTCGAGCGCATCCTGGGCTTCCTCACCGACGTGCTCAAGCGCAACATACTGATGTACGAGCAAATGTTTACCGAAATGGCGCGTCGCAATACCAACCTGTGAAAACAGTCAAGCTCAATTAATATATATATAATACCTATTTTGTTCTTTTATTATTTAACGAATTGTTGTTCATTTAAAGCCTTCAAATTTGTTGTGTAGCGAAAGTAATGAAAAGAGGCGCAAGAGCTGTCATTAAAAATTTTACGGTTGCCGAATAAATTTCAATTTATATGCAGTTTTTTTTTTTAGTTATTTTTTGCATTCACAAATTGACACACACACACACACACACGCACACAGACAGAAAGGCATACAAAATAACACGTATACGCAACGTTTGCCTAGCCCACAGCCAAATGTCTGCTGCCGACACAGACATTGACCCAAAAAAAAACTAGATATATATAAATGAAAATCGAATAACTCGAAAGAGCATTTCAATTGTGATTGGTAAGCGCAGCTCCATATAATATTTATGAGTCGAGGCGCCTGTGGTTGGGTTCAAGAGCTTACAGTGTGAATTCCTGTGTTGGCACTCTTTCATCTCTGGGCATGCATAATTTTCTGTCATGTTTACTAATAATAATTATTATTAAATGTTGTTTGTTACAAGTTTAAGGCATGTTTTATTTATGTGTGTGTGTGTGTGTGTGTGCCGGTCTCTATATATACAATTTATACATACAATACATATATATTATAAGAGATTATTGAAGCAATTTCTATAATTTAATTGTTCGCTTTTCTTCGCACAGTTCTCGATGTGAGAGCATTCGAGCGTCTGCTTGGACCCTGCATGGATATCATGAAGCGCAATATTGATGACTATGAGTCGCAGCTGCTTAAGATATTTGGCAGCAAAAATAATATCACCGATACACGATAAAAAGTCTGAACAATAAACCACAACAACAACAGCAACAACAACAACAAACACAACAACAACAACAACCAGGCTAATGGGTTTTGAAAGGACTCTGCAACAACTACAACAAAATACAACAACAACAAGCGCAAACCAAACACACACGCACACACAGACACAGAGACACATATACCCTATACATATATAAATAAAAGTAAAAACTTGTTTTAATTATGTTTTAAGCTGAGGCTGGTTAATGAAATTCACAAACAATGATAAAGATAATACGCTAATGCTAATGATAATGATAATCATAATGAGTTGAGCACACAAAAACACAAATATATTCTATGTATGTATTAGCAATTGTAATTTAAACTATTTAATTGGAAAACAACAACAAAAACAAGAAAAAGCCAAGTTAATTGAAAGTTCTTTGTGTGTCCTTAGCTCAGAAATGAAATGTGTTAGGTGCATAGTTATTAGTCTTGTTTTTTTCTTATTTTTAAACTATTATTATTATTATTATTATTATAATACTAATTTGTTATCGCTTGATTTACGCATTATTTAGCACAATATATAGCAGCAAAGAAGAAGAAGAATACCATTAAAAAAAAACTCGCTTTTGACTTTGCGAGTCGCATATATATAAATATAAATATTTATATATATATATAGACATATATATATCAAATAAGCGCAAATGGAAACACATCAAGCAAAAGAGTTTATATCTACAAAATACAAATCTAAATACTTATATATATATAAAGTAAAAACCCACACATATGCATAAAACAAATCTAATTTATTTATAAAATAAAGTAAAACAACAAAAAAACCAATCATTGTACTAGTCTATATATATATATATGTAAAAAATTGCTTTAAAAACAAAAAAGAAAAGCAAGCGTAAATACTTTTGAAATTGTTTTAAAATATATATTCACATATATTTGAGACACGCAAAAACCGAATGTTATGCTCCCCAAAACCCCGCCTCTCCAGGGACAAGAAGAAAGTTAGAAGGCAAAAAAAAAAAAAAACAAGAAGCTTTGCAGAGTATTTAGCTCTTCCACAAAATAAAACCAAAATAAAAAAAAAACGATCTCAATATAAGCAAAATTTCAATTACAACAAATCCGTTTTCAAATTCAATTGGCTCTACAAAAGGCTAAAGGCACAATCACTATATACGTTGCATGGGATCAAATTTAGAGAAAAAAAAAAAAAACACATACGATATCTATAAAAAAACATGGTTTTGTTTGGGCTAGACACGAGTGTACTACTTATATAGGGTATTGTAGTTAGAGAAAAAGCAAAGCAATATCAAAAGGCCTAGTTGTGTACTTAGTAGAGTTCTTCTTAAATGTTTTGTTGTACTTTCTCTTTTTATTTTTTTGGCACCGTTTCAAGCCGAGCCCCATCCTAGGCCCACTTGAGAAGGTTGCCCACATGCCACTCTACTCTAACCACACACACACACACACACATACATATGCATATATCTATATGGAGACATGCAAATGTATATATATACATATATATAAACTGAATGAGCTTAATATTTGGTAAACCCAAACTTCAGTACTTTATAAACGTTACTTTATTGTTTGTAAAATGCGTGACTAAAACAAATCTTAGACCGTTAATCAATAACAAATTACTTAAATGTACTTTGTAGTTATGTAAAAGCATATATATATATATAGTATATATATATATATATATATAAACAATTTAACTGGCATACCAACAGTCGACAGGTGTTCACAAAACTATAAAAAAAAAACAAAACATAAAAGGAATATTTAACATAAAGAAAAGCAAATATCATAAATTTAAAAACTTGTTACATGTGACAAAAATTAAAAAAATCTAATAAAATAAAAGCAAAAAAAATATGTTTAATCCCACATAATTGGTGTCTAGTCTATGTTCAAGACTTTAAAAGCAACAAATTCTTGAAAAAAAAATAAATAAAAGAACAACATTTATAGCAACAAGAAGCGTAATTATATCAACAATTAATAAATAAACAAATAAAAGGAAATATCATAAATTCATGAGAGTATGAAGCGAACCTAATTATATAAGAAAGCTGAAAGTGCTGGCCATTTTCTTCCAAATATACAACACGCACACACGCACACACACGTACAACCCAAAGCCATACACACACACACGCTCACACACGACGACAACAAGCAAAGCTCAAAGAAATAAATCAATAACAAATGAATTTGTCAACAAAAAAAAAAGCTAGAAAAACGCGCTAAAATAAAATTGAAAACCTATTTGTATTTTAACTGTTGTGTTGTAATTAAAGCATAAAGCGTTTACTAATTATGTATGTGTAACAAAATGAAAACAAAAACAAAAAAAAAATTAAATATGTATGTATTTAATGAGCATATTTCAAGTGTAGACACTGCAAAAACAACAAGAAAAAAAAGCAACTAAAAAAATGCATAAGAAAATTTCATTGGAACTTTGCAATAGGCGTTTATAAATTAAGGAAAATTTAATCAATTGAGGCGCCACAAAGCTGCTGCTGATAAAAAAAAAATAAAAAAAAAAATAAGAAGAGACAAACATAAAGGCAAATTTGCAATTACTTTGCATTTCATTTGAACGATTTGATTTGAATTTTTGTGTCATTCAAGCGCAGCAATTGGCATGGATATATCGTATATAGCATACTAAGTTATAGGATTGTAAAACTATTCTTCAGATATCGAGTTATGTGTCACAAAATCAACAGTGCAGAGGCAAACATGACGAAATGAATACAAGTTTAATAAAAGCGATAAAACACAGATAACTTTGTTTTCTTTCAATCACAGAAGATTTGCCTGATAGTAAATTAAAGGTAGTATATGCATAGCATCAATAGAGAAGACTCACCCGACATGATGCGCACGTTTGAATGTTTACAGGGTATCATCTGCTCAAGCAGCTTTCTATGCTTGTGTATGCCCGTTTATGGGGTATTTCACAGTCGAGCATACTCAAGTGAGATCCTAACTGCCTAATTTGCATGTGTCCGCGGTATATCACTGTCGAGCATATTCGTTCAAAGGATTCCTAGAGCAAATGAGATATTATCTGCCTTATGTGCATGTGTGCGGAGTATATCACAGTCGAGCATACTCGACCGGAGCAATCCTATCAATAAAATGCCTCCCTACTGCCTGATGTCCGGACTCTTCAGTAGCACAAGTGAGATTCTATTTGCTTGTGTGCGGGGTATTTCACAGCATTTCTATCACTGAAACACCTGCGCTTCCTACTGCTTGATGTCCGGACTCTTCAGTAGCTCAAGTGAGATCCTATTTGCATGTGTGCGGGGTATTTCACAGTCGAGCATATTCGTTCGTGGGTATTCCCAGCACAAGTGAGATCCTAACTGCCTTATGTGCATGTGTGCGGGGTATTTCACAGCATTCCTATCACTGAAACGCGCAGGAGCAATCCTATCAATAAAATGCCTCCCTACTGCCTGATGTCCGGACTCTTCAGTAGCTCAAATGAGATCCTATTTGCATGTGTGCGGGGTATTTCACAGCATTTCTATCACTGAAACACCTGCGCTTCCTACTGCTTGATGTCCGGACTCTTCAGTAGCTCAAGTGAGATCCTATTTGCATGTGTGCGGGGTATTTCACAGTCGAGCATATTCGTTCGTGGGTATTCCTATAACAAGTGAGATCCTAACTGGCTTATGTGCATGTGTGCGGGGTATTTCACAGCATTCCTATCACTGAAACACCTGCGCTTCCTACTGCCTGATGTCCGGACTCTTCAGTAGCTCAAGTGAGATCCTATTTGCATGTGTGCGGGGTATTTCACAGTCGAGCATACTCGTTCGTGAGTATTCCTATAAGTGAGATCCTAACTCCGTTAACAGTGTATTTCCTAGTAGAGCACTCGTGGATGTGGCCAAAAGCTCCTCCTTGTTAATTTCCATATGTTAAATGCTCCGACTTTATAATTTTTATTCACTTAAAAACGTAGCTCCAAATACACTTATAATTTTACGATGTTTAATATATGTATGTATTTATCATTATATGTATGTGTATATGTGTAATTTTTTTTTTATTATCATTATAATGTATATAGAACTCCGATATCGGTCGCACAGCTACCGCCGATAAAGCACGAATGATAAGTGAGGCTAATTGTATTTTTGTTGTTTTGTTTTTTCATTTTTTGGGTTGCGCCAATTACAAAAAATTGAATCTGATCCAGAAACGGTATCAAATTTTTAGGAGTTATATTCTTTACGCTGTGTAGTTGTTGCTGCTGCTGCTGCTTGTTGTTGTTGTCTGTTGCTTGTTTTTGCTGTTATTGTTGTTGTTATTGTTGCTGATGCTGCTGTTGTTGTTGGTGGTGCACGTGGTTGGCCGAATTTGCCTCCAGGCGCTGAATGTTGTCTTAAAATTGTTTTGTTGCTTCGGATTTGTTTGTTTTTCTTTTCTTTTTTTTTTTTTTGGAGGAAAAATTCATTTAAAAAATTGTGTTTTTGTTGCTGTTGTTGTTGTTGTTGTTGTTGTTGTCTTGCGTAAAACTAGAAATCTAACTGTAAAGATCATCATCGCCATTGTCGCCCGGCGAGTTGACTGGCATATTGGTGCCAGACCCTGAGGTGTTGCCGGTATTACCGGGGAATCTACAGTTAGGCAATAGAAAAGAATATTAAAAAATAATAATCAATTATATGGGAATTGTTCAGAGCTAATGTCACCTGAAGTTCTGGCCAAAGCCGCGCGACTGTTGCAAAGTCTGTGCAAACATCTCGTATTTGCGTATATCATTGTCCGAAACGGATCGGCGAGCAAATTTCATGGCCTCCTCAAAGTGAGCGCGTGTTATCTCTGGCACTGGATCATCCTCATCCATCTGTCAATCAAAAATAAAGAAATTATACAAAAATGACTATTTTACTAAGTTTTCCCCCAATTCATTTCCAACTTACGTCCATGGCAGAGTTCTGATTCTCGGCGCGATCCTTTTCGCGACGTATCTCGGCCTCGATAGCCTGGCGAATGGCCAGCTTGCAGGCGCGTTGACAGATCTCGGTCAGATCGGCGCCCGAGAAGCCCTGCGTCACCTTGGCAATATACGTTAAATCCACCTCCTTGGCCAGCGGCGACTTGCGCAAATTAGCCTTGAGTATAGCCTCACGTGACTTGTCGTCGGGCAATGGAATATAGATCAACTGATCCAAGCGGCCCGGACGCAATATGGCCGGATCAATAATGTCGGGCCGATTGGTGGCGCCAATGATGAACACATTCTTCTTGGCACCCATACCGTCCATTTCGGTTAGAATCTGATTAATGACACGATCGGCAGCACCGCCAGCATCGCCCACATTGCCGCCACGCGCCTTGGCAATCGAATCCAACTCATCGAAGAACAGCACACATGGAGCGGCAGAGCGAGCCTTGTCGAAAATGTCGCGCACATTGGCCTCGGACTCACCGAACCACATGGTAAGCAGTTCGGGTCCCTTCACCGAAATGAAGTTCGCCTGGCACTCGTTAGCAATGGCCTTGGCCAGCAGCGTCTTACCACAGCCGGGTGGGCCGTAGAAAAGTACGCCACGGCTGGGCTGCATGCCAAACTTGAGGAACTTGTCGGGATGCTCGACTGGATATTGGACCAGCTCCTGTAGCTCCTTCTTGACATTCTCCAGGCCGCCAATATCTGTCCAGGTGGTGTTGGGCACCTCAACAACCGTTTCGCGCAGCGCCGACGGACTGGACTTGGTCATCGCGTAGCGGAAGTTCTCCATGGTCACAGCCAGAGAGGCCAGAACCTCGGCATCAATCTTGTCATCTTCCAGATCAATCAGATCCATCTTCTCACGGATTTGTTGCAGAGCTGCCTCCGAGCAGAGCGAAGCCAAATCGGCGCCCACATGACCATGAGTCTCGGCGGCAATCTGCTCGAGATCAACGTCCTCGTGCAGCTTCATGTTCTTGGTGTGTATCCGCAGCACCTCCAAACGGCCGGTGGCATCGGGAATGCCAATATCGATTTCACGATCAAAACGGCCAAAGCGACGCAGCGCCGGATCAATGGAATTGGGACGATTGGTGGCCGCCATGACAATCAAATGGGAGCTCTTCTTCATGCCGTCCATCAGCGTCAGCAGCTGGGATACAATACGACGCTCCACCTCGCCGTGGGTCTTGTCACGCTTGGGCGCAATAGCGTCGATCTCATCAATGAAAATGATGGCCGGTGAATTCTTTTCGGCCTCCTCGAATGCCTTGCGCAGATTCGATTCGGATTCACCGGCTAGCTTGGACATGATCTCGGGTCCGTTGATCAAAAAGAAGAACGCGCCCGTCTCGTTGGCAACGGCGCGTGCAATTAGCGTCTTACCGGTACCGGGTGGACCATACATGAGTATGCCACGGGGCGGCTTCACGCCAATTGCCTTGAAGAGCGACGGATGACGCAGCGGCAACTCGACCATCTCCTTGATCTGGGCCAGCTGCTTGCGGCAGCCACCGATATCATCATAGCCCACAGCATTCAAGGACTCTTCCTCCTCCTATAGCAAAGCATAACGTTTATATTGAGAACATATAGAAACTCAATGGGAACGCAGTACAGTGGATAATTTGACTAACATGCCCCCAAAAACCCAACACCCCAAATATATAGCCATGTCACCCACTGTGCTGCACATGCTGTGATCAAAAGGATTTCCTTACCTCACGCTTGATTGGATCACCATCACAAAAGATGACCGTTTCGGGCGCCACAATGCAGTAAGGTTCCGGATCGGTGAGCACCACTTTGAACTCAATGGGCCGCATGGCGGCGCGCACAATAAAATTGTCGCCCATGTGTATGGGACGATAGGCCTCCAGGAAATAGGGTTTCAAATAGATCTCAAATAGATTGCCGGTAACACCCTCGGTGGTATCATCGATGGGCAAAATGCGGACACGCTTGCCATACTTGACATCCGGGCAGGATTGCACGGAAACCACGTCCGACAGATGAACGCACAGATTGTTGCGGACAACACGATTCATGCGTATCTTCTCATCCGGGCAGGTATCATCCGACAGCACAATACAAACGGTCTCCTTGCGGCGCTTGCCCTTCAGGATAACAGTGTCGCCACGGAAGAGCTGCAGCTCATCCATTTTCGCCTAAAACCGAGCGGATCAAGTGATTTAGCCAAACGGAATTGCTGACGTGGCCTTTAACTTTTAATTGATTACCTGCGATAGCGACACGACGGAATTGTCATCATTCTGCGCCTCCTCGACAATCAAACGATTGGGGCGATCCTTGCGCTTCAGAATTGCCGTGGCCAGGTCTTCGCTGCTTGGACAGAGAATCAAGTTAAGCACTCGTTTTGTATGGAGGCAACAAGAGAATATAATATGATATAGGAAAAAAGAAAGCCCCTAGGCGCACCGTTTCTCGCCGGAGACCTGCGGCTTGGGCAGCTCCGATTTCTCATTCTTTATCAACAGCTCGTCCTGCTCGTTGCGATAGTTGCGCACCATGTCGGTTATGTCGACATCCATTTTCTGGCCCTGGTCTGCATTGTAATTGTTGTTGTTGTTGCCGGTGCCTGCAGCCGGCTGCTTGGCCAGTGAACGCTTCGAGCTGCTGGCGTTGTTTTCCTCGTTGCCGCTGGACATTTTTTTTTTTGGACTAATCTTCTGTTTGTGCCGTTTGATTTCCAATTAGAAACAAAAAAAAAAAAAAAAAAAAAAAAAAAACAGCTCGCAACGCTGTCGTTGTTAGCAACAAACTAAGACAGTAAACAAACTAGCCCACTTGGATGCCATTTGGAATGGCATCAATTTTGCCCACTTGTCCCGCCGCAACAAAGAAACGGTAAAAAAGGGCTGCAACAACAACAGCTGCAACAAAGGCAATGGGCGAAACGGACAAATGGCGACTTTCTGCGGCTTGCCCCAATTTCACAATCAAAACGTTTAAGTCTCAATTGTGCATTATTACTTAAAGTAATCTACATATATCGCGGTTTCATATAAAAATAACTCATTTTCGTCAAATTTCAAGGCGCCTATTTGTTGAAGAGTTCCCATTTAATTTTCCTATGTGGCCTTTGAGTTTTTTTTTTCACATAGGGCCAATGACTGCGCGAAATTGAAGCTGTCTCAGCGCTGTGTCGGCTTTCGTTTGACGCTGTTTATTGTTACATATACACTTACCCCTTGGAATCAGCCATAGTAAAAGATTTGTGATGAAACTTTTGAACTTAAATATACAAATTGGCGCGTTTAACTCTTTATTATATGTCTTTAAAAATCGAGCACAACTTTTGTAACAAAATCACAAATGATTTAGCTAAATGTTCGCATAGGGCTGCCAACTGGACTGACTACAAACGCGTTGGCAGCTTGGCGCTGGAAAAGTGCTGAGTTGTGTGATAATTAGGAATGGGACTTTGCAAAAGAATTAACCATCGATATTAATACAAATGCAACCAAGCGATATTAACGGCGTTGCCACATTGATGTTAGCGACTATTTGGCGCATTTATTCAAAATTGGCAAAATTTTAGTTTGGATTTCATTTAAGGAGATTTCTTTATTTCACTGTTGTGTAGAACGCTTGTATAAAGACATATATAAATACATATACATTTATATTTCTTATATTAATATTGAATACAAAATATGCTCTTGCCATTTGACATTTTGTGCAAAATTACAGTGTTACATACAAAAAAAATTGTTGAACGAAAACGAACGAGTAAATGCGTTTTTGTTTTAATTGTTTGCAGAATTTCTTTCAATTTTGTTTCGAAATATTATTTTTGGTGTGTTGTTTTTGAAGAGTATATTGGATTTCGGACATTTAGCCAGCATGCACAGACTGAAACGAAGTATAAAAAAGAGATAAATCAAATTAAAGCAAAATCATATATATATATATATATATATGTAGAAAACGCAAAAGCTGGAAAGCAAAAAATCATATATGTACATATATGTAATTGCCACATTGCAGAAGAAACATATGTTATCATAGAACTTCATATAATGTCGCTACATTTCTCTACCAAGTCTTTTGATTGCCATTTGTTTTACTTAGGTAATTTTTAGTTGTTTAGTTATTGTTGAAGTTTCCCTTTAAATAAACTCTGAATTGGAACGTACCCTGGCAATGTCCACGCCAGTTATGTTCTTGACCAGCTCCGGCACCTTGTTGACAATCTGCAATATCTCGCCGGTCAATTTGGCGGCACCAATATCGCCTTGGCCACTCGACACCATGGTAATCTTTCTGGCCTGCGACAAGGGCGCAGCTACTTCGGCAGCCACCTGAAAGCATAAAAACGAAGATTCATTAGATACGTTTCCGATTGCTGGAGAAGCACAGCGTACCTTCGGCAGCGTGTCCAAGAGCATTTCCACCATGGCGGCTTCGCGGTATTCACGCCAAGCGTCGGCCTTCTGAGCCATTTGCTCAGCCTCAGCCTTAGCCTTGGCAGCAATGGCAAATGCTTCAGCTTCACCGCGTATCTTTATCTGTGAAAAGCGAGTTTTTAAGTGAATGCTTCGGCCAGGGATTTACTGTGCAACCTTACCGATTCGGCCTCAGCTTCGGCCTCCATTACGACGCGCAGCTTGTTGGCTTCAGCCAATTTCTCCAGACGATACTTTTCAGCTTCGGCTGGACAGCGCACCGTGGCATCCAGCTCCTTTTCACGTCGCATAATTTCCTGCTCCTGCACAGCAATCTCCTGTGTGCGCTCGATAACCTTCACCTGCATCTGCTCCTCCTTGATGCGCTGCTTAGTCTTGGCCGCCTGCAGCTCGTATGCCATGTCGGCCTCGGCCTTCTTCGTTTGCACCTCCAGATCGTAGGCGGCACGCTTCAGCTCAAAGTCGCGCTGTGCCTTGGCAATGTCGGTGTCGTTAAGGAAACGGGCAGCCATGCGCTGCTCCTCGGCAATGGCCTCCTTGATGTGCGCCTCAGCACGTGCCTCAGCCTCGCCAATGCGAGCATCGCGCTTCACCTCTGCCGTGCGCGCCATGCCCAACGATTTCAGATAGCCCTGCAAGGAATCGAACAAGAGGAGGGCTCGTTGTACCATTTGGAATCATAAAAATAATGGATTTAGAGGACTCAACAAAACACGGACCCACTATATACGCACCTTGGAGTCGCCCTGGTTGGTTAAACCATGAGTCGATATGTACATACATGCAAAAATACATAATATTTCGGTTACTCAAAACGGAAAATTTGTTGTGCGTATGAAAGACTCGTCACAACATATCAACTGCATGCCCCGAGCAGAATCTAATGAAATTAGGGAAGTCAAATCTGGAGTGGAGAGCTTACCTCCTCGTCACGCAGATCCTTGATTGTGTAGGAGACCACGGTGATGCCCATGTTGGCCAAATCGCTGGATGCCACCTCGAACACCTGCTTGCTGAACTTCTTGCGATCCTTGTAGATCTCCTCCACAGTCATCGAGCCCATGATGGCGCGCTGATGTCCCTCCAATGTGACGAGCGCAATGTGATTGATTTCGGCCTCGGATTTGCCCAGAAACTGCTCGCAGGCTGTCAATAGCATATCCTCGTTCTGGCCCTGCACCTTCACCTGGGCAATGCCAGTCACAGAGATGGGCACACCTTGGCTGGTGTAAACGCAGGGGCTTTCCACTTGCAGCGTCATCGTGTTCAATGAAATGCTGGAGGGGAAAAAAAACAATGACCGTTATTTGGTGACATCACGCCTCAAGGTCAAATTAATGAATTACCGTTGTACTTGTTGAATCGTTGGCCAGACAAAGGCGCGTCCGCCTGGAACCAACAGTGGCTTCATATAACAGCATCCTAGCATAAAATAAGATATAAATGCATGTGTCAATGCAATGTTTACAATTTAATCAAAACAAAACAAATACACCGGCAGCCGTATATACAAGCAAACACATACGTACATACTTGTATGTTTATTTTCGCCGTAACGGCGTCAGTTATGTGCGCACGCACGGCCTCGGACTGTTACGATTTGCTTGTACATAAAAATCGATAAGCAGTGACGTCATTTGGGGGTGCTGCCCCGAGCCGAATTTATTTACAAATTGATTAAAGCCCATTGTGAGCTATCTACTAGCATTGATTGTGGGTAATATTTACCTGATACGACTAATGCCTCGTTTGGGCCACAAGTCACGAACCCCCAAGTCATTTTAATAAACTAAAATTGCAATATTTAATTTCGATCACGAGTTGTTGCTGCGGCTCGTTGGTATTTCCCTTGGGCTCTTTATTAATCTGTAACCCGCATACGTTTTTTCAATAAATTATTGAGATTCGATATCAAAATAGAAAACAAATGTACATTTATAGTAACGGGCTTCTAACTTTAGATATATGAACGCGAAACGCGACCGGTCCGTCGAGAACACAAAAAGCAACTAAAAAGAAATTCTCCTGCGAGTGCGCATTGACTATTGGATTTAACCCTTAGGTGGGCTTTGTGGTCATATTTATGAAGATTTATTCTATAAATATTAAGTGAACTAGGTACAGTTGCAATTGTTGGTTCTTAAATTTACTTAATGTATATTTAAAATATTACAACTGATGGCATTCTCATGGTATAATTTGGTAAAAACTATGTAATAGAATTGCAATGAATTGGGGATAAAAACAATGTGTATAACTAAAAATACGTTCCTAAAATATACATACAATTTTTATATATATTATATTATATTATTGAAACAGTCGTTAGAACTACAAGTTAACTTGATTGCCACATTAATGACTCGAAGAGGAGCTATCTGTAAAATACGGATGCTGCATGGCAGCTTCCGCACTAATTCGCTGATTCGGACGGCAAACAAGCAGTTTTTGCAGTAAATCACGGCCCTTGGTATTCAGTCTTGGTACAAGTTGGCTCCACGATGTAATAGGTGGATAAGCTAGTAGCACAAATATGTATAATTCGTATTTGATTTGTAATTATTGTTGCAACTTACATGGAAGCGCAACGTAATCGGAGAGATGCGAGACACCGGGCCAAGATTCTTCAGTTGGTGTGCCAAGCACCCGGAATATTTTCAGCAGTTGATCGAGTACATCAGAGCCGGGAAATAGCGGACGACCTGCATCCGCTAATTCGGCTAATATGCAACCCGCTGACCACATATCGATGCTAGTCGTATAGAGCTTGGCGCCGAAGAGCACATCGGGCGGACGATACCACAGCGTTACCACCTCGGCAGAATAGCATTTGACGGGTATGCCAAAGGCACGGGCCAGACCAAAGTCGGCCAACTTCAGTTCGCCGTTCTTGTTGATGAGCAAGTTTTGCGGTTTCAAATCCCGATGCAGAACGTTGTGACTGGGAAAAAGTAAAGAAGAGATTATCAATAAGCCGGCAATTGCAACTAACTGCATGTGACACCCACCTGTGACAGAAGGCTAAACCGCGCAACAGTTGCAGCATAAAACTACGACAAACGGCCATATCGATTTCTCCATTTAAGCTGTCAAAGTACTTTTTCAGGTCCTGATCGCAGTGCTCGAATACCAATGTCAATTTTTTATCGGAGTGCAACACATCACAGAGTCGAACTATATTTTTGTGCTTCAATTCCTATTGGTAGAGTGACGTGAACGTGTGGCTAAAGAATATAGCATATCTCTGCTTGTAATCGCAAACAAACC